GTTTCGTCGGAACGAAGTTACGGAAAGTTAATTAACAAACGGAGACGTAACAGTAGCATAGTTTTCATTGCAATAGGCTTCTTCGTAAGGCTGTCTATTAAAAAGACATCACTCCTCATTGCTATCTTTCCATAATCCATCTAGTGTATGAGGACGACGGTTTCCCAGTGGTTGTTTTAACAGCCTGATTGCATAGAAATCCATATGCGCTGCGTCTGGCGACTTGAAAAGCATGTTTTTGTTTGGAGTATAGTAATACCTATTTCATTCTACAGGTCTTGAGCTATGCGAATTGAACTGGAGGTATGACTGGAAGACTTATCTTAGTGAACCCATACCCCGTTAGCCTCGTTTTCAGATGAAGACTCTTCTTGATTGTATTTCGTACTCTTGTCTGGAACATATGGGTGGCTTTTTCCATTAATTTTTACGTTTGTGTCTTCTCAACTGTTACAAGACGTCGCGCTTTGTTTACCACGTCTTGAATATAACTTATTTCGCGTCTATTTCTGGATGGTATTAGCCCCAAATTGATCCATATTCCTTTGTTTTCCAATGTCATTAAGTTCAAGGGAATATCTTATCTTGAAAATTCTAAATTCCTAATCTGAACACATGGTCTGAGTGTGTGAATATTTAGCGTAAGAAAGGGCTGTTACATACCTTTCCCAAAAGCATAAGTTTTCGGTAGCATCAAACTACCTACAGAACGCTAAACAATGTCAAAATGTAGTTCTGATACATACCATTACATCGCGATTTTATATCGGCTGTAGTTGTCATGTGACTTCCTGATTTACATATTCAAAATTGTTTTAATATAACCTACAAAACCCGACTGTCCAACAAATGCACTTACGTCAGAGAAACTAGACGATCAATTGAAGGGGGAGTATATGGTAAACACAAGGACATCAAAAGTAAAAACTTTAATACCTAAATAGGACTCCATTTTCAGACTTGCCTAAGACGAGTGACAAATGTTGATGCTCCGTTACTTACCTGCAAGATTCTATGTATAACGAAGATGATGATGACACAAAAATCATTAAAGCAGTTATGATTAAGCAGAAATCTATAAACAAACAGACCCGGTTGAATGCTAATTTATTAATAGCCTAATTTTCTTTCTGTAACGTTAAATATATATATATATATTTGTAATTTTGAGTCGAAATAAATCTCATTTAATAAATTAATATATATATTTCAT